AACATCTAATTTTTACTTTTTCCTATTTAATAATCTAATTATATAATCTTTTTCATTTTTTGAATAAATATATTTTTAATCAAAGCTAATTGTTTATTATTTTATCTTAATTCATTTACCCATTTTTCTTTTAACTTAATTTAGCAACTAACTATACCTTTATTAAATTCAAAAGAATTTGTTACTTTAATTATTTTATTTTCTTTAGTATAAGTAATAATTTATTTCTTTTACTTAATGGTATATAAATTGCAATATCATTTAACTATTTTTTATTAATAATACTTAAATATTTTTGTTTTTTTGAAGCAGCATTTATGTAAATTTTAAACTGATTTATCAACAAACTCATGATTTATCATTATTATGCATAATTAAATTTAATCGTAATATTATATTATATTTTATAAGTAATTTTATGATATTTAACATTTAAATGCATAATTTTTTTTACAAATAAACTAGCATTTCTAAATTATTTTGAATAGATTAAAGTTCTTTTTCAATTTTTATTTTAAAAAGTATTTAAAATTAAATAATTCTATAATAAAAAAGCTTATCTAATTTACGAATAGTACAATAAATATATTTTTATTATTAGATTAAGTATTTTATTTTTTATAATAAAATTATAAAAGCGTATCTTAATAAGTAATCTATTAATTTAAAATAAGCAGTTCTATAAAATTTAAACCAAAATTGATAATTATTGTATATTTTTGAAAATAAGCATTTTGTGACATGCTCTTTTTATAGTAATTTATTTATTTGTCATATGGAATTTATTATATTATTAGTCACATATATACTAATAAATTCATATATATCATGTGATGCTTATTTTTAGAACTATATGATATATGGGTTCTTTATAATAAAAAAAGAAAAAACTGTTAAAAAAATCAATTTTATTTTTATATAACAAATGTGATTTTTAAGTTAAAATATAGGGGCTGATCTAAGAAAATCAAAGTCTGAACTTAATGAATTATTAGAATTAAACCTTGATTTCTTAGATCAGCTCCTATATATTTAGATTTAGCATTAATTTATTTATTTATTTTTTTTAACCTTTTTCCTCTTTTCTATTGCAAAAGTCTTATATAATCAGTAATTGAGCATTTAAACTTATAAATAATTTGTGTTAAATTAATAAACTTACTTCAAAAATATATAACAATTTTATAGCAAATTCATAAGCTTATCTTATAACTATAAAACTATTAAATAGATATTTATAATTAAATTATTTTATAATTTTTATTTAATAATTTTTTTCTTACTTTTTTTTTTAATCTCGGATTTTTATTATTATAAGAATTATTATGATACAAAATAATAATATAATTCTTACATTTTTAAATATTCTTTTAAATTAAACATGTCATAATAATTATATATAATTATATAAAAATGTAATTCATATTTATAATTATGATAATTAATTATCCAATTTGTAAAAAATATGATAATTATATAATTAATTACAGGATGATAAATAATTACAAAGTGATGATTAATTATAAGCAAGAAATTATTTATTGTAGATGTAATTAATTACAAGATAGTAATTAATTACAGGATGATAATTAATTACAAGATGGTAATTAATTACAAGATGATAATTAATTACAAGATAGTAATTAATTATAGGATGATAAGAAATTATAAAATGTATAGCAAATTTTATTAAAAATTAAATAAAAATAATTTTTAAAATATTTAATTAATAAAGAAAACTTATAACCATGAGAAATCCATTGATTCAAGTTTTCAATCACATTTGTTATTCTTTTTTAATACAATTAATAAAGTTTCATGATTTAAATATATCAATATAAAAACAAAAGCAAAATTTTCTGAAATTTACTTAAAAAAGTTTTAACTTGTAAATACCTAAAAATTCCACAGGACATGATCTTCGAAGATTTTTTTTTTTCTATTTGTATAAACAGATAAGTAGTTGGTTGTAATCAAAGGAACAGTCTAATGATGATAATTATTATCATAACATAAAATAACTGATACTAATCCTAAAATATAAGTGACACGGTCACTAATAAATAGATCGGACGAACAAAAACCACTCATCTAACATAAATTTCATTGAAATTCGACTAGAAATCATATTAATTAATCGATTCACCACCTTTTATAACTCTATCTGTTTCTAAATCTGGTTCATTAGTTACATCTAATTTTTGCCCAACTTCCTCAAAACATTCTTGATCTATTGCACAGAAACATTGTACTGGCGCTCCGGAAACTTCACCATTATTTTCCATGCATTTACAAAGTGTTGTATCTTCTGTAGACCCATAATCACTTGAGCCTTCATCGACTTCTTCACCACATGTTGAAGAAATGGGTGTGTTGGGAAGTTGAATAGGTGTCAATTCAAAAGATTCTACTTTTTTCTTAAGGACTGCCCTCTCTGCCTAGATTTAACAAAAAAAAAGAAAAATAAATTATTAATAACAATACGCAAATTATGATAAGAATTCAAAATAAAGGAAGAAATTATACTTGTAATGCTCTGCATAAATTTTCCAATTTTGACTGCTTTTTCTTTGAATCCTCTATAGTTTTCTGATCTCTTGCGCGCTGATGTATAGCGATGTACCGAAAAAAATGTAGATTCGGAATTGATATATTAGCATATCTTTAACCAAATATCCACATAATTAACAAACAATAATAATAGCACAATAAAAAGAATGACAATAATATAATAAAATAATAATACGAAAGTTCATATAGGTGCCACGGTTTCCCAATTATTTATATATAGATATTACCTCTTCGGCCATCTCTAAAATGTTCTTATTCATTGTGTCACATTTCCCTTTGATAGACGAATTTTCTTTTTCAAGTTTCTTCGTTTTTTTGGTCATCTACGGTATAAAACGCCTATAAGAGAGTAATATAAATGCATCTGTTTTAAACTGATAAATCACAAACAAAATAATCAAACCTGTTCCATTTCTTTGCGAAAGTTAAGGAAAAGATCATTGCTTTTATTTAGAGTCTCTTCAACTTGTTTAAACTTATCCACGTATACATTAAGCTGTTTACGTAGTTCGGCTTCCGTTTTAGTAAAGGTTTCAACTTGCTCCTTCAAAGAATTAACCTATAGAATGACAAAGAACAACTACTTATAAATATGAATCATCTCAAATTAATTTCAAATAAATTTCTAACCTTTATAGTTTCTTGATCAGTTAGCTGCTTTTGCTGTTGTAATTTTGCTTCATACAACTGCAATTCCAAATTTTTTGATCGAACTACACTATCAAAATGTTTTTCACGGAGCTCGTATTGTTCTAAGAAACTGCGGAACTTATCCTTTAATCTATTAAAATAAACATTATACGTAATTGGGAATTCGAAAATTAAAAAAAAAATAATTTTTTGGCTAATAATAAATTACTAACAATTCACTATCTTCCGCACGTTTTTTTTTCTCATCAGTATCTTCTTCCATCTTAGATTTGATCTCCCAGATGGTGTTCTCAAATTTGCTTGATAATTCTTCGCGTTTCTGTTGTTCACTAACAGCCAAGCGTTTGCTTTCCTCCTAATGATAAAATAAAAAATGGATGCGCCTAATTGATAAAAATTATATATCCAACAATGAAGTTTTAATAATGAAAGGTTAAAAATCGCAAACCTTAATACGTTTGTTTTCTTTTTGTAATTCTCGACATATGTTTTCCAACTTATGTTTCATCGAATTCGCTTTAGACAGATCACTCTTTGCTAAAGAGAAATTTATGACTTTAATTCATGGATGTCATTAAAATCGATTATAAAGAAGCTTGACTAGCAATAAAAAAATATATACCAGCATCTTTTTCTTTTTGCAATTGTTCATTGCGCTTCTTCATCTTTGCATGGTCTCGCTCAAGACGTTTCATATCTTGAAACTACGCAATCATATATATTAAAACGGGTTTTCTCAAATAGGTTTAATTTGATTTTATGTAAGGACGAAATAACTTTCAGGGCTTACCAATTCCATGTACCTTTGCTGTATAGTATCAAATTTTTCCATTTGATCATCGTGAGAATTAATGATGTCTTTCATTTCCCTACTTGCCTTTTTGACGGCTTTAGCTGTAAATGATTGAAAAAAAAGATTAGATCATGAAAAAAATTTTTTTTTTATAAAAAATAAATAAATAAATAAATAACATAATTCTGCGAAAGAAAAAGAATTAATTAATTATTGTACCGAACGCCTTTTCCTCCTCATCTTCAATTGACGATTCAGTTTCAAGTTGCGTGATTTTGTTCTGAATCATACTGTTAAGCTCTTGAGGATCAAGTGGTCTCTTTTTAGACGACGCGCCGTTCTTTTTCGCAATTGCAGGTGAGGTTAGCGGCGTATTTTTTGGAGAGTTAACTTTTAACATAGCCTTCGAAGGCAAAGAAGCTTGCTTCTCATTCATTTCCGATTGACTTTCTTGATTTTCGAGATCAGTTGCCTTTGGAGTTTCAGTAGTTGGCATATTAAACGTAAGTCGTTCTCGGTCGTATAAATTTCCACAATAAATTTGCAATCAAAGGTAGCTCGATATTTATTAACAAGCTTCTCCCTTAATCGGAAAAAAAAAAAATAAATGGAAAAGGTCAAAAAAAAAAAAAAAAAAAAAAATCTTAGAAGTGGCTTGACAATTGTACGTGGATTAAAATCACGTTACAATCATATGATTTACATTCAAAAAAATATATATATATAATTTCTTCCAATGTATTAATTTTATTTATGGAAAGTTATTAGCAAATGCAAGTAGAAATTAATCAATATTTACATTTCTATAGTAGAAATTAATTACAAAAGATAAAAGTAAAAATTTTTTTTTATATATATATATATATATTGGTAGAAAAAAAAAAAAAAATAAAATAAGGGAAAATTTTGGTTTTTGCCGTAGATTATTTCATACATTATTGATTTAACTATCTTATATAATGAAGGCAGATTAATAGAATATACCCTAAATTTTCTTGGTCTTTTTGTTCCTCTTCTTATTTTTCGACGTTTTAGATGACGATTCGAATTCATCACCAACTCCATCTTCTCTTTCATATTTAATCTCTTCGCTTACGTCAAAATCTTCTTTGCTCTTTTCATCCCGTGAGTGTTTCTTGATTTTTCTGTGTTCTTCATCGTTTGAGGTCCTTTTCTTTGATCTTTTAGTAGATTTTTCATTTTCTTCTACTTCGTGGGCACTTTCATCATCATCATCATCATTGGATCTTCGCTTCTTGGGCTTCTTTGAAGAAGATTCCAATTCATCTTTAGTTTCCATATAAGCCTTATATTCGATTTCGAAGCGTTGTTTAGCTGCTTCATATTGATGTTCATATACCTTACAATTTAGATTTATTATTACAAATAATATGAATTAATATTAAAATATGAATAAATAAATAAATATATAAATAAAAACAAAAAAGTAAATACTTCTTTTTCATCTTTTGGCAAAGCTTTCCAACGAGTGCTTATTAGATGCACTATTTCTGACCAAGGTTTACCCTGATTTTCCGCCTTTACCGAATTCGCAACGTCTTTTTGAAACAATATGAAGGCGTTCTGAGGTTTCGTAGGTGCGTTAGGGTCACGAGGCGGTCTTGGTTTACGTGTAGATCTCTTGACCCCATTTGCTGGCTGTTTGTCATTTTGTTGAGCCTTTTGATCTTTGTCTAGCGTTTCGCCTTCGTTATTGAGAGCATCACCAAACAATTTACTAAGAGCCCCATTAATATTACCTTTCAAGAGATCCTGAAGATTAATGTCTAACGGGTTATTATCTACCAAGCTGTCGTCGGTTTCAGAGGTAAGAGCTTCTGCAGCTTGTAGAAGGCTTACAACAGCAGCTTGTAGACTTATAGCAGTTTTGCGTAATCCTTGGGCCTGTAAAATATATCTTTACGTTTTTACAAAATACTTTTCGCGTAAATATCATATAAATCTTGGGACACTTACCGCGAGTTTCAACCGTTTTTCAGACATGTTCACAAATAGAAAACTTTTCAAAAAGTTACAAAGTTATAGCGTACTCTGATATTTAAAATAATAAGTTGTTATTATTATTAAAATTATATTTTATCGTTTTATAAAGTCATCCACCATAGAGCTTGACAAAACGATAGAATTTCTTGAAGAGTTATGGACTCCTATAAAAAAGATCGTTTCTTTATAAAAGGTATTTATTTATAAAAAGATATTCAATCGCACGCGAAAAAAAAAAAAAAAAATATCAATTTTCGCGAAAAAAAAAAAAAAAAAAAAAAATTGGCGTATTAATTATGAACAAAAAAAAAAAAAGGACTCTGAAGTCAACCTTACTATGGTTTGGTTATTATATAGGATCAAGCAAAGGATATTAAGTGGTTCATCCTTTTTTGAGGTTACAGTCGAACAAAACAGTCACCTCTAAATCCATGCATATATGGGGTATGGGGCATATGCTATGATACAAAGCCTTTCAGATAAAAAAAAAAAATTTCAGGGGGTTCAAAAAAATTTTTAGTAACAGTGACCACTACCTCTTATAGTTACAGAACAGGCTGTAGTATTTTGGGCTGACTTTTTGTAGATCGATTGATCCTTATATTTTTTTTATGATCGGAGAACTATGTCATAATGCTTATCACGTGCAACTGAACTATTTCAGCTCTCGAAATCGTTTTTTGCGTTGATACCATCATGAAAGAACGACGGGTAGTTACTTCCTTTTTAACTTATACCGAAGGAAGTGAGACTTTTAGTCAAGGAAATAAATTGTTGTTGTTAAAGCGTAGTGATAAAGTCAGGACTTATCAGTAAGCGAATTATTTTATCATGCATTTTTTGAATTTGAATTTGAAAGAAGCTTAAATGACTTTCTTATAAAGAAATCATTGGGCAGGTGTGAGTGGAGGGATTGAGACCAATGATTCATCACCCTTAGAGAGAGCATTAAAAGAAATTCGAGAAGAAACTTCACTTTCCTCTAATGACATCACACTCATTCGCAGTGGTAAACCATTAAAGATCACGACAGAAATCACATGGAAAGTTTACCCATTTTTATTTCACATAAATTCCCCAACATTAATAAATCAAATTCGAATTGATTGGGAACATCAAACATTTAAGTGGATTAATCCATCTGAAATAATCAATTATGAATGCGTGCCAAGTTTACTGGAAACATTACATAGAGTATATTTACCCTTATGCGTTCACGAAGGTTTAAATGATTTATTTAAGAATAGATCTTCTGGGGCTCAAGAATTATCAATGAAAGCTCTTGATATACTGAAAGAGGCGGTAAAAAGTAAGGAGTGTAGAACAATTTCTAAAGATACATTGGAGTTGTGGAGAAATTTGTTAAATATAGGTTGGCATTTAACTCAAATTAGACCAAATATGAAAGCTTCAATTTCTTATGGTATCATTAATGTTTTGAAGAGATCAAAGCAATTTCTTCAGGAAGGAAAGAAATTGTCACTTGAGGAATTCGAAACTTTTGTAATAGATTTAATTGATCAAACAAAATCAACCTTTCAAGAAAATGAAAAAAAAATTAATGAAAATTTCTTGAATGTGTTATTTCCCTCCCTTGGAGTCAAGAAATTACAAGGAGGGCAAGAAACGAATCCTCCGTTAAAAATTCATATCATTACATTGAGTTATTCTTCTACAATTTGTTCCGCACTTTCCTCACTTATTCAAAATTTTATTAATTATTCTTCTTCTCAGTTGAGAGAAGATTACGATTCCTCATCTCTTACCATAACGATCATGGAATCACGTCCGTTAAATGAAGGTGCGACTCTTGCAAAAAAGTTATCATCTTTTCTACCATCATCAACAAACACTCCCTCCCATTCAATTTGCATACAAGTTATAACGGATGTGTCATGTAATTATTTCATGTCATCCGTTACTCACGTTTTACTTGGTGCTGATCGAATCTTGGGTAATAATGGTAATATAATAAATAAGATTGGTTCAATGTCTCTAGCTTTATCAGCAAATTATTTCAATAAACCTGTTTATATTTTATCGAAATCTGATAAAATTGCTTCATTTTCCTCTTCGGGAGATGAGCCTTCAGGAGAAATGGAACAAGAAAGCAAAAAAGAGGAAGGAGAAGAGATGGAAGAAAATGATTCAACTGAATTAACAAATTCTTATGGCCAAGATTGGATTGATAATATCAGAGAAAAAAATGTTTTGATTAGAAATATTTATTTTGAAATGGTAGAATCAAAATTTATTAATGGTTATCTTATGGAAATTGATGATGATGTTATCAACGTTAATATGATAAAAGAATTATGGAATCTGAGAAAAGATTCCGAGAAAATTTTTGATGAGATTTAGTCACAATGTAACAACGATTATTGGTTTTATGATCTTTATAATAAACAATACCATACAATTTACTTTTAATGTGTCGTTATGAGCTTTTTTGAGAAAAGCATTTATTTTTTTATGTCACACCTTAATCCACTCTTTTACTTTGTAAAGGTTCAAAGAAATTGCTGCAATTTCATTGATACATTCACCAGGTCCTAATAATAATAAGTTACTGTATCAAAATAAACAATAAAAAAACTTAAATAACATGCGTAAAATCATTATCAATTTTCTTTGCTCAGCGAATCCCGAATTTTGTAATGTAATGCAATGATCATCTTATTATGTGACTTATATTAGGAGATTGTGGCTTGATTCAAGAATGGCCAATCGAACCTTGTCAATTATTGATGCGTTTCGCATTATAATATTTTTCTGTTCTTGGTGAACTGTGAACAGCGAAAAATAAATAAATTAAAATAAAAAAACAAAAATGGACTTTCTTAGTAGAGGGTATAGAGAGTTATTAGGTGAAAAGGGGCAACCTCAATCGGCTGAAGATACCGTCATAAAGTTAGTTGATCGTGCTAGCAATTCTACTTTATTGGAAGATAGGCGTGCTGCTATTTTAGGATTAAAAGGTCTCTCGAGAGAATATCGCCAGGTAGATTTATATGTATATATATTGTTTTAAATATGTAGGAAATATTTTTTCTAGTTGTTATATTTGAAAACATAGGAAGTTGGAGAGAAAAGTCTTGGATCTCTTTTACATATTTTAAACGAAGATAAAGCAGATATTGACACAGCAAAGGCTATTTTAGAAATATTAAACATTCTATGTACACCCGACATACACGAGATACACGAGGTAAATTTTATTGATCAAGTTTTTTCTTTTCAATTAATTAATTAATTGAATTTTTAATCTAGGATCGTCTTGCCGTGAAATTCACGGATGAAGTTGTTAGGGTAAAATTTTAATAATTTTTGAACTCATGTGCTTCATAATTTATTGACTTTCGATCTTTAATTTAGGATTCTTCAAATATACATTTATTCTTGGATATTTTACAAGAGTATGATTTTTATGTTCGTTTTCATGATATACAATTGTTGCGTGCATTGCTTATTGTAAGACCAGATCATGTACAGGACTGTATTTTGACTGCTCCTATGGGAATTTCACGTTTGATGGATCTATTAGATGATCAAAGAGAAATCATAAGAAATGGCGAGTCAATTTTGTGGAAAATATGTTGTTTGAATAAAATTCATCTTAATTTAAAATTAAAATTTATTTAAAATCTTATTTTTTTTTAATATATTTAGAGGGATTATTATTGCTCATATCACTCACGGAAAACAATGCTGATATTCAAAAGATTGTCGCATTTGAGAATGCCTTTGAAAGGCTTTTGGAAATAATTGCAGAAGAGGACGGATTGAATGGCGGAATTATTGTTCAGGATTGTTTGCAATTGATACATAATTTATTACGATATAATGTTTCAAATCAGGTTCGTAGGTTAATAATTTAAAATCTTTCTTAAATTAACAATTTAATAAAATATTTTATTTTTATTTAGAATTTTTTCCGAGAGACAAGTTGTATACAGAGAATTCCGGCATTATTAAGTTATTCAGCAGAGTTCCAACATCAGGGATTTGAACTTGAATTTTTAGTTCAAGATTGGCATGATCAAAAAATTGTTAATACCATTGTATTATTAGAATTAATTAAGATTTTAGTTGTTCCAAATAATATGAATACAGTAACTAATCAGGTGAACTAAAAAAAAAATTTTTTTTTTATCAATAATTTATTTGCATAATTTAATTAATTGCTATTGTTTTCAATTGCTTAATTAGAATGTGATGGTTCAATGTGGAGTTTTAAAACCGATTATTGAATTGGCTTTGTCTTCAAACGCCCCATCACCAGTAAAGTCAAATGTATGTGTTCTTTCAAATCTATATCGAATTCTTGTAAAACGATACAATTGTTTGCGTTAATTTTTATATAATTATAAATTTAGTCACTTTATGCTTTGGCAGATCTAATAAGGGGAAATCAAAACAGTCAAGAATTTTTGTCAAGAATAGTTGTAACAGTTCCTCATCCATCTTATCGTATTTCAGATTCACTTGATCCATCTCAGGCGAACAGAAATAGTGCCCAATCATCACAGGATCAAATTCCTACATTACCTCCACGTCCTGCTGTAATGGCACTTATTGCTGTTGCGGTTGGAGCGGAACATCTAGAAAGTTATTCGACTCGTGCAGCTGCTACTTATGCATTCGAGGTAAATCAATTTACATATTTTCGAATATGGTATTTATATTATCCTCAAATTAACAAACATTTAATTGATTTTTTAGTCTTATACATTTAATAATATTAACGCACAACTTGTATTAGCATCGACACTGACACCACCACCTGATGATAATCCCAATTCAGAAATATTTGCAGGTTGAAAAATTTTTAAAATATAACCAACTATATTTTGAAATATTTATTAATTTTTTTTGATTCCTCTCACAATTCGGTTACAGCAAAACCTCAATCAGCTGGTTCCCTATTGCTTTCGGCATTATTAGAATGGGAAGATTCCGAAGCAGATCCATATGTTGTATGGTTTGCCTCAGTAATATTCTCACATATTCTCATGAACAATGAAAAGTCAAAAGAAATAGCTCGAGCGATATTTATTGGAGACGGTAATGAAAATGCGGAGGAAAATGTTTCTTTATTGCATTCAATTGCTGGAAATTTGATGATGGCGACAAGACAAAACGCGGATGTTAGAGTACTGATAGGATACCTAAGTGTTCTCTGCGTTTGGTTATGGGATAGTCCAATAAGTATCAGAGAATTCTTATCAGAGGGTGCCCATTTACAAATGGTAACTTTCAATTTATGACAATTTTTTTAATATTGTGTACAAGAAATTCTTACTTTTTATTTAAAAAAAAAAAAAATAATTAACAGAATTTATCATCCTTATAGCTAATTACACCAATAACTCAATCTTCTGGAATAGATACAATAGTTCAAGGATTGTGTGCATTTTTATTAGGAATATGTTATGAATTTAATCATAATTTAGATCCACAAATCACAAGGTTTATATCTTATATATATGTATTTTTTTTAAAAGAAATTTTATTACTCAATTTAGTAATATTTTTTTTAAGGTCAACGCTTCAACCAATTTTACTTAATCGAATTGGGTTTGACCAATTTGTCAATCGAATTACAAGATTAAGAGAATCTACTCATTTTAAACACGCTACACAGTATTTACAGGTACATAATAATTATGTTGTTATAAATTGATTGATTTGATAATAAATATTATAAGGATATTTTTATCGAAATTTTAGATTTTGCCGGAAGCGGCGGCTAAAGGCTTACCAGACTTATATTTTGATTATGCCTTTGTAGAATTTTTTAAAAATAATTATGGTATGAATAAACAATATTGAATTTATTTAAAATTTTTATTTTATTTATTTTTTATTTTTATTTATCTTGTAGAAATCATTCAAAGGTCTATTAGAGCGGATCCGAATGCAAAATCATCATTAGGATATAAAGGTAAATTCTAACTTAATTATTACTGTTTAATTGAATTTTATTTAATATATGATATATATTTAGGTTCAGATTATCAAGGTGAAAATGATTCAACTTCAATGATAATATCATATAAAGATGTTATTCAAACTCAAGAAAAGGAAATAAATCAATTAAAAGAATCAATCAAACAAATTGAAAATCAATTGGAATCACAGGTAATTAAATAAAATGTTATAGTGATAGAATTGTTTATTGATTTTTATTAATTATTTATTATTAATTATAGAAATTATCTTCAGAAAAACAAATTGATTCATTAAATAATAATATTGAAATATTAAAACAAACAGTTGAAAAACAAAAAATGGATTATATAAAATTAGAAAAAGAACAAGAGGATTTATTAATATGTCTTGCAGATCAAGATGCAAATATTAAAAAATATAGAAAAAGATTAATTTCATCAGGATTAGATATTTCTGATATTGAAGAAGAAGAAGAAGAAGAAGAAGAAGAAGATAATGATAATAATAATAATGAATAAATTTGCTTTATATTAATAAATTATTTAATATATATTTATATAAAAAAAAATTAAATTATTAGTTTAATTAATAAAAATAAACATTATTTTTAAAATTATATTACTTTAATATTTTATTTATTTTTGATTAAATTAATTGTTTTTAATTGTTTTACAATTTATTAAAATTAGTTTTTATTTTTTGAAAATTATTAATTTATATTGTTAAAAAATATTTTTTATAAAATTTTAAAATTTGTTTTATTTAATTTATCATATAATAATTTAATAAAATAATTCAATTAAATTCTTTTTTTATAAATATTAAAAGATTTTAAATAATTGCTTAGACGCCACGGCGCTTCAACTAGAAGCTACCTATAACCCACGACTTTTGTTCAATCCAAGTTATACGACGTTTACCATAGACCCGTCATATCCTAGATTATTCCAGGGATGACCCCCTTGCAGACGATGCGGCACTTGCCCATTACAAGCCAGCCCCCTATTTATTATACTTTTAATATATTAAATTTTTAAATAAATTTATAAAATAAAAATTTTAAAAAAGTTATGCTATTTAAAAAAAATTATTATTTTTAAAAATATTAACAATTATAATGTTATAATTATATTGTTTTATATAAATTATAATTATTTTTAATAATTATTTTTATATTTGAATTATAAGTATTAATTCATAATATATTAGTTAATTACATAAAATTTATAGTTAATTTTGATACAAATTTTGTTGATCACTAATATATTTTTTCAATATGCAGTTTTCTATTCTTAAGTAATCATTTTATATATACATATAAAACACTTGCAATACATGATACATAATATGATATTTTAATAACATTTTTTATTAAATTTTATAATAAAATTTTTTATTTTTATTTGATGATTTTTCAGATTTCCAGTCAAAATAATAATATTATTATTAAATAGATACATACAGTCAACTCTTTTTACAACGAATTTTGATATAACGAATTTTACAATACAACGGATTTTTAGTGTCAAACAGATTTTTAAATATAAAAAAACCCTTACTATACTGAATTTAGTAATTAAAAATTCATACTATGTTTAACGAATTAAAATCAGAAAAATTTATATATAAAATAACTCTTTTTATAACGAATTTTCTCTATAATAATTTTTTTTTGATATAACAAAGTTTTACTTAAAATAAATTTTACTAGATTTATATATATATAATTTTGTAATTTTTTGTACCTAGTTTTTAAATAAAATTAAAAATAAATGAATATTTGCATTACGTATTGTATCTTGTATTTCATATTTTATTTTACATATTTTATTTTTTACACGTATTTTTTCTTTGTATAATGCCAATAATGCCAAAAGTAAACTCAAAGAAACAACTTAATCAACTTACTAATAAACAAAATGAATCTTTAAAAAAAAAATGAAAGTCTCTTACAGCTGCACAAAAAAAAGAACTTTATTTGAAAAAATATCATCACCTTTTTTAAAACAAAAAGACTTGACTAATGAATATAACATTAGTAAAGACAGGATAAGTGACATTTTAAAAGAGAAAGACTATTGGCTTTCTGTGAATACTAATTCATACCAAGCTAATTTGAAATGTAATAAGAAAACTCTATTCCTTCTCATTAAAGAAGCATTAGTAATATGGGTAGATAACGTATTCAAAGCTAGCCTCATTATTTACTGACAATATTCTTTTAACAAAAGCCTTGAGTTTTGCTTTTTTATTAAAAGAGAATAAGTTTAAAGGGTTTAGTGGTTGGGTGAATAACTTTAAAAAATGACACAACTTTAAACAATATCATATACAGTAGCGGTCATAAGTATCCGACCGCCCGAGATCGTCCAAAATTATTATATAACTACCCCTTAAATTTTCC